AGGGACGGCTAGTGCAGAAAGCCCTCGTGTAGCTTCGTGAGAAATTCAAAACAAAGAAACAAATCATATGATACTTACCTCCTCTCTTAAGATTAACTATTCTCATTCAGTGCTGCCCTCTATATTTATTTTATGTATGCCACAAGCCTTGCACTCCCCACTTGTTGGAATTGCTATATTCCAACATGTCTATCATGCAAATTATCATGCATCATCTCTTAACCATGACTTCCTCTACTGAGCCTTCACTCCTTGTTTGGCAGCGTTTGAGTTCAGATGTCCTCATTTATGTGCTTAGTGCTTCTAGTGGGACAAACAATTTTTTTTTTGCAATGGTTCCTTTTTGAGTTTTATTTTTTATTTTATACCACTTCATTCTTGTTGATATATTACTGCACTCTACAATTTGTGAACATTTTCTTGAGTTATGAATTCTGAAGTTCACGTTCCCACTTTGATGGTCACACCAACGACCAGTGTTTTTCCTCAGGTATCAGGTGTGGGTGACTCAATGGTGGATATCTCTGTTTTTATACATTGAGAGATTGAACGTTACATGGCTCAACCTTTGTCCCCTGACATTGCCCAGACTCCTCCTGAGTAGACTGAAATTGTTCAAAATAACAAGGATTTTAATCGTCTTTTCCCGCCTCCAGCATTTGTCATTCCTTCCCAATTGCAACCTGATGATTCACCTAGGCCTAATTTGGTCTACTGAGGGGTTTTCTGCAGGTACCCTTCACCTTCGCTCCTTGACATTAGCCCACAGTTCATCCTCGGCTCTGGCGTTACATACGTGGTTTCTTTCTTGTTGGGACCTTATAGGTAGGGATGCAGTATTGACTAAGTCAATTTATCCTCAAAATACCTCAGGGACTTATGTCTTGCACCTTTTCTGAGTCATTATGTCCTTGATACAGTCCAAGTAACCATCAAGTCTCTGGTAACATCAGCCTGCCAACAATCCATCCTTACGATTTTGCAGCCAGTTTGTCTAGGTCAGAGCCTCATATGCCACCATTTCCCATTTCTTGTCTTTCATCCTCCCAACTTTTACCCATTCCTTCTAAACGGGTTACTTTTTTTCGTTATTTCCTTGCCGATGTAACATCCTTTGCCATCAGAACTGCTAACTGCCCTGTGGGTTCAGGTCTGGTGGGAGCTCTACTTTTGGAGTTTCTTCCTTGCCTGCATCCCTTTGTCAACAATCAATGGGTGATATGGGTTCTGTCAGAAGGATTTGTTATCCAGTTTCTTTCCTCACCTCCTGTTTTTCCTTACCTCTTCCTGAAGATCCCGTGGCCTGCCAGAATCTGTCAGAGGCATTTTGAGATTGCGTTTGCAGTGGGCAGTTGAACTAGTCCACTATCCTTCAGGGGTTTTATTCCCATCTTTTCGTTCTCCCCAAGAAAACTGGGGATTGGCAGCCAATGATTGATTTATCTTGCCTCAACTGCTTCATTGCACACCCCAAGTTCACCATGGAGTCTTTTCTCACCCTGAGATGTGCATTTTCCCCAGGCATGTGGATGATGAAAGTGGATGTCTCCAATGCTTACCTCCACATCCCAAAAGCACAGCTGTCTCGACCTTATCTTCGATTTGACCATCTCTGTGTGGTTTACCCATTTTCGGGCCCTTCCCTTTGGACTTGTGTGTTTTGTCACATAGTTTGGGCTTTTGCTTGTCATCTTCATGTTCTGGGGATGTGATTTCATTATTACATGGATGACTAGCTCATTCTGAGTAGGAATCAACCACTCATACTCACCAACTCCTTTCTGTGGTAGCTCAGGTGGACTGGTTGACCAAATTGGTGAAGTCATTCTTTTGATCTACTCAATATCTCGTCCATTTGGGGGTCTTTTTTGACACCAATATCAGTCGGCTGTACCTTCTCCTTTACATCTTTGTCCCACAAAACTTTCAATTCACTATGCCCTCTTAGCTCAGTCACTTACTGCTCGCGAGGTTTATAGCTTTTGGAGATGTGGTCCTCGATGACTGCATTGATCCCTCTCAGTTATCCCCATATGAGATTCCTGCAGTGGGCACTTCACAAATGATGGAACCCGCTCAGGATTCTCTTTCCACCAATATTTCCCCTCCTCTTTCCCTGCGAGATGATCTGCAATAGTTGTTGGACAACGCCCATATGTCGGCAGGAGTACCACTTCCTCCTCCCCACCTGCGTTCAGATCTACATCTTTTCACATATGCATCCATTCAAGGTTGGGAGCCATGGGTCTATCACTAGGAAGCTTTTGGCCATTGGTCTGCAGACAAAACTGTCTTGTATATCAACATTCTCAACCTTTTAGTGGTACATCAGGCATTACATCACTTCTTTCTTCTCACCCATCATTGTCTGGTGATGGTTCATTTGGATAATTCTACAGTAGTGGCACATATCAACCATCAAGGGGGCACCTGGTCCAAAGATCTATGTTTTTGGACATTGGATCTATCATACTGGGCCCTTGCACATCACATTCATCTTATTGCATGTCACATGCCAGGTGCTTTTAATCTAGTTGTGGATCATCTTTTGCACTCAGACTAGATCTATTCAACAGAGTAAGCATTAAATCATTTCGTTTTCAGGGACATTTCCCATCAATGGGTTCTCCCCAATTGGATGCTTTTGCCACAGGCTTTTGTACCAAGTTCCCCTCTTTTGGTCACCTGTACCACATCCACAAGCTGGGATTGTCACACAAATACGTTTGTGTACCCTCAAATCCAATTGTTCATAGGGTGATTTCTCTTGTGCACTCCACTCCTTGTTAAGTCCTCCTAATTGCACCCTATTGGCCAAGCAACCTTGATTTCCAAGGTTACAACATCTGCTCCTATCTCCACCTATCCCTCTTCCATTTTCTCCCTCTCTTCTTCATCAACCTCAATCCCACATTCTACATACCAGTCTTCACAACTGGCTTTTGTCCGATCCTTGGCAAAATGATCTGGTTTCACACGTCAAGTCACCTCCTTGTTAGCTAGTTCCTTATGGCCAACTTCCATGGAAGTATACCAGCATAAGTGGAAAGTCTTTTGTTGTTGGTCTGCTAACAGGGGATTTCATGCCGACTAGCTTTTTGTGGCTCGTGTGGTGAAATTTTTAACATGTTTTTTTTTACCGTATGCCATTGGTCTCCTCATAAGTGGCCTTATCCAATACCTTCCATTTTTCCTGATACCGTAGGGTTTTCATTTCCCCATGTTCTTACCATGGTTATGCGTTCCTTCCAGATTTGAAGGCCTCCAAGGCATCCTGCCCTTCTGGATTCGGACATTAATGTGGTCCTCAATGCCCTCACTTTACCTTGGTTCGAACCACTTTCCTTGTGTTCCTTTTTCATCTGTCTCTTAAAACATATTTACTTCTTCTCTTGGCTTGTGGACATTGACGGTCTGATTTGTTTGCCATTAACGTTTCTTGTACCCTTCATTACCCTACCTATCTTCTCTTTTATCCTGATCATTCCTTTCGGGAGGGTTGTTCATTCTTTTCTCCTATTTCCCTTCCTTCTATATCCCATCTTTACCCTAGACCAGATCTAGATAGACTACTGTTTCTGTACTGCTACTTTTTGGGGTACGTGAAACCAACTTTTTATCCCCTGGCAATCCTCCTCACTTTGTGATCTATCACCTTCTACCCTTACAAATTGTGTCTGCCTTTTGGTTAATTTGGCCCACTCTTCCCTGCCTTCTTCTTTTTGTGGCCCAGCATGGCCAGGTAGTTAGGGCACTTGACTTGAAATATGCAGGTTGCAGGTTTGAATCCCTGTCCCACCAAACATATTTGCCCTTTCAGGTGAGGGAGCATTATAATGTGATGGTCAATCCCACTATTCTTTGGTAAAAGTGTAGCACAAGAGTTAGCAGTGGGTGGTGACGACTAGCTGCCTTCCCTCTAGTCTTTTACTGCTAAATTAGGGATTGCTAGCACAGATATCCCTCGTGTAGCTTTGCGAGAAATTCATAACAAAACAATCAAACCCTGCCTTTTTCCTCCTGTATATTGTTCCTTGTTTCCTCCCATTAGATCAGACATGTCACCTTTTACCTCGCTTCTCCTTTTTGCCATCTGATGGAGGAGATTCTACAGTCTGGCATGTGGACCACTCCCAGTACATTTGTCTCCTACTATCTTCATCTTATCGCAATTTCCTTTGCATCAGGGTTTCATCTACCACCTGTGGCTGTTCGCCAGACTTCGGTGCAAATTTAACTGGTAAGATTTCTTCTTATTTTTTTTCACAGGCCTTTCTATCTCTTTTTATCACACGGATTTTGCTCTGTGGCAAGTACCACCTGACCAGGTATTCTTTAACTAAATCCATACTGTCAGTCATGTTGACTTGTCCTCTCTCATCCATGGCTTTGCACACTCACCACCGAGATGGGGTGTTCCACTAGATTGCTTGATGGTTAATTACCTCCTGATAGCTTGCTTCATAAACATGCCCATTCTGAATCGTACCACCCTTGGACTACATGGGTAAAGCAGAAAGGGATTGCTGCTTATCCCTGCTATGCCTCAAGTGAATAACTCGGTATGGTATGCTTTTCAAAATAAGGTTTCTTGGTCCCCTATTGCATTGTCTCCAGTGATGATGTTTCTCCAGGATTTCAACCACACTGTCATCCTCTTTTCCTCAAGTGGAGTATGGAAGTCCTTACCACTTCCAGTTCCAAGCCACTGGGGTTATTGACCATGGAGGCACCATCCTTATTGCATTCCACAAGGAAAAGGATAGAACCATTCAGTTAAGAGTAAGGCAGTGTTGTTCAACTGGTGTAAATGCAATGTGGCCTCCAGAGAAGTTGAGCCATCACCTTTCTGGCTGATGAGGCCTCCTGATC